CCCCAGAAAAAGCCATCTTTAAAAAAAACAAAAAAAAAAAAAACTCTATAGGACTTTAGGGATATGGCATTACAAGCCATCAGCAGACAATAGAAAAAAAAGTTCAGGCCAAGACCTACAACTGAAAATAGGAACAGCAATCTTATAAAATACAAAGCAAAACAGAAGCCAATCACCTGATAAAACTTACACTGGGCTCAACTCAGAGCGGCCAAACTAGGATAAGGATCCTTATTAAATAAGGACAAAAACACCTCAATGAAATATAAAAAGACCAGCCACATGGCTGAAATAAGGATCACCACCCTTGTGATCCCATCTTTGTGAATTGATCCTGAAGACCAGTACACAGGACATTGGTGTCCCGTAGTAAACATCAGCACTACAATTTCGCAAATAAGAAAAGTGATCCATACTACAGGCGGTGAGGAAATTACACCAAGAAGCCAATCCGTTTTATAAACAAAAACGACCCAAAAACACACTTCTGACCCATGTGAAAGGCTATTCCAAGTTCTACATATTTACTGAGAAATTGGAGTCACTACAAGGCATCACATCTGCTTATGCAACAGAAGGGAAACATTGTAACCATTTCATAACACTAATACTGGATTGATAATCAGCCCTGAACTTCCTGGCCTCCCTAGGAGAGAGCAATGGGTGGCCTCCAGCAGAGGAAGTCATGGGCTGTGTTCCTCAATACACCATCGGATGGGCGAGGAGACGCAAGCAGCACGGCAGAGCATGCAGTTGGTGTTCCAAACGTTTGATCACATTGGTGGGCATTAGCTCACATGCGGAATGCATTGACCACCGAGACCGTTGAACTGAGATCATTTAAAAACACAAGACAATAATACAGCAAAACAGATAGGTCGTGTTCCCTATAGAGAGCATGCAGCCATCCACATTATAGCCCCCTGTAGAGTGTTGGCTGGGCGGTCGGCCACCCCCTGCACTGCATCAGTCGTCCAGTGTATAGGAGCTCCACACCCTGCTATGATGGAGGAGGCCACCCTGCCCGACCAAGAGGATGCCCGCTCCTATATGTACTATGACCCCCAATACCGGGCCACCCCCGCACTATACATACCGTATGCTCACGGTGTTCAGGCTCCGCTCGTTGAAAACAATGTCGTCCGGTGTTGGCCTCCTCCTCCTCCACCAACCCCCGTTATCCTTAACTCCCGTCCCACCTATAGGGGTGACGTCTCGTGTGGTGCTGTACCGAAGAGGTACGTAAGTCTCGCTGCAAATGTCGCCTTAAATCTCCGCGTTTTCTCTCTTCCCCCCGTGGCTGTCCGGCCAAGTGCACACCTCTGTCTTCACTCGCTCTCCACACCGCGACACACAGGCTTAAAATGGCGCCGTACACTCTAGTTTTATACCAGCAACCTTCGCCGGCTCCGTGTATCCCTCCGCCTGCCCCTACACGCAGAGGTAGGAAGAGAGCGCGGATGAGGAGGGGGCGGGGCCATGCGAAAAATAGTTCCGCCTACCTTAGTTTCTCACAGCTGATTGCTGCCGAGTAAAGCGTAGGTTAGCTCGTAGACATGGTGATCTGGGCTGAAAGTATTTTATTGCGGCGAGTTGTGGGAGGCTGGTGAGGGGGAAAACGGGCCAGGCTTGTGTGTGCATGCTAGTTCAGTGATATCTGAGACCTCTGCAGGAAGTGAACGGCGTTTTGTAGTATCCGCACTGCTATGGAAGTCGTTCTGTTACTTTGTAACGTGCATGTAGAAGAAGAGTACCGGCAGACACTGCTAACGGAGTGTGTTGTAGCAGTGAAGACATACGTGAATGATTGATGCCACTCGTGCTATTTTACATACATTAGGCAGCCTGTAATGCCAGAGAAAGCAGGTCCACGATGCTCATATCTCAGGTGAAGGGCGGAGGACGACTTTTCTCTACCGCCGCTCATTGTCAAGATTGGAGAGGCTGCGAGCCGGTGATGTGTCGAAAGTGCGAACTTATCGAGTTGTGGGACCGCATTACTTCCGGTTTCCTCAGAACTACGAGGTTTTTACACAAAACATGTTGTGCACGAGCGCCATCCACGGCATTGCCCTATAGACATAGACCACAGCAATAAAGTAATAAAATGATGTAGGATGACAGTAAGCCAGCACGTTCTTTATCTCCGGTGCCCCACTCAATATGGCCGCCGCTTGAGTGGGGCACCTGAGATAAAGAACGCGCTGGCTTACTGTCATCCTACATCATTTTATTACTTTATTGCTGTGGTCTATGTCTATAGGGCAATGCCGTGGATGGCGCTCGTGCACAACATGTTTTGTGTAAAAACCTCGTAGTTCTGAGGAAACCGGAAGTAATGCGGTCCCACAACTCGATAAGTTCGTAGTTTTGATCGATCACCGGCGGAATGATCCTGGACTCAGTGATGCGGCCCACGCACCTTTTCCCCGGGTTGGAATGTGAGCTGGAGGAAGGCTGAGCCAGAAACAAAGAGGGAGGGGGGTGGGGAGAACATTAACCCTTCCAAAGCCAAGAGAAACTTTTCCCTTGTCCACATCCAACTCTCAGTGATTTCAGATAAACAATGTCTGTAACTCCAGCCAACTCGCCTACATCTTTCTTCCTGGTTTTTGCTACATTCTGAGGTGCATCCTTGAAGGAATTCCCAGAAGGAGTTCCCAGTAACACTCTATAGAGCCCTGGTGGCCAACATGTGGCCCTTAGGTACTTGCTGGACAACCCCAATAGTTAGTAGTAGAAGCACTGAATTGTAAAGGTCTCATGTCCCCAATCTCCGACCCTCTTCTATACTGTATCTTTAAAACCTATCTCAAAGGAAACAAAATAGCTCCCCTTGTATTGGGGCTACTCCCGCACTGCAAGTGTTACCTGCTGGTTTATGTCTAGGGGTCCTATGTAAAGACTTTTACTTACCCGAACCCCTCTCCAGCAGGTTTCAGGACCGGCACCCGCAGCCCATCAGTTGGAGGCCCACTCACATACAGTGCGGGGTACATAAGGCCCCATTCCCACTGCGCGATATGCAAATCGCGCAACATCGCGAGATTTGCCGCGTTCAAGCTTGCATTGAGCAAGCTTGAATCGCGGCTAAATCCGCTCCAAAAAGGGTCCTGCTGTAGCGACACACGACCCGCGACAGCAGGACCCTTTGCCCCATTGGATTGCACTGGAGCGCGATATCGCGCAGTAATTTGCTGCGATATCGCGGGAATTACTGCGCGATAAATCGCTCAATGTGAACGGGGTCTTAGTGTGACGCTCTGTCTGCTCAGCTCATGACGTCATTGGTTGCCAGGAGCTGCGCGGGATGCTCTGGCTGGTGTCCCACTGAGCTCTTGGCAACCAGTGCCGTCAGTGAGCTGGGTGGGACCAGACAGAGAGCCACTTGTAGCCACAGCAGGGCTCTCTGTCCATCTAACACAACTGCCCCGCCCGCCACAAAGCGCCCATCCTAGCATTATCAGCAGCACCTGCCGCCACACAAGCCCCTCCCACATACCCCCTCCCTCTGCTGCCTCAGGCGGCATATTGGGTAGGGCCCGTCCTGAGTAGTGACATGATCACTGCGCTGTACATATCCTGTGCAGAGAACAGAGCTGTGGGAGGAACCCAGTAGGCTCCACCCACTACAGCTGCCTGAAGAAAACTCACTGAGGGGGCGGATACAAGACCAGTCACCCTGTACAAGGAGAGAGAGCAGCGGTGACTGGTCTTTATTACAGGAAACCCTTGCACAGTTTCTGCACCACTGTAGAGATATGTTAGAAATCAAAGCACACCTCACAAGTCTAAGAAAAAATACACAGGACCCTTGTATTTAGACAATATTTTCTAACCCATGATGCAATCATCTTTTAAAGCATATGATAAAGACTGCGGCAAGGCAGAATAATCACACGTATTGAAAACATAACACAGAATAAAACTCAGAGAGGGAATTTATGAAAACTGGAGCAGACAAAATCTGGATCAGCTGTGCATGGCAACCAATCAACTTCTCTGTTTATTTGTTAAAATCTTAACTGAACAAACTGAAGAGAGAAGCTGATTGGTTGCCATGGACAACTGCTCCAGTTTTGATAAATTCCCCCCATAAACTGTAATACGTGTAACGAGCTGAGCGATGAAGGGATGCCGCATCCGCTGGTTTAGTTGCACAATCTGTGTTATTCTTTGTCATGTCTGTACAGATCTGTCACACCAAAATACCATCAACACATTTTTACCAGCTCCCTTTCAGTCTGGGACAGCCAGCACGGTCTCATACTATGTGTATATGACTCATGGAAATGCATCCTGTAAAATGTGCACGCCACATACACCTGGATGTCTTCCGTCTGTCCGTCTAAGGCAGTTGTAGCCAAACTCCGGCCCTCCAGCTGTGGTGGAACTACAAATCCCATGAGGCATTGCAAGATTCTCACAGACATGACTCCCGGAGAGAGATGCATCATGGGATTTGTAGTTTCACCACAGCAGGAGGGCCCGAGTTTGGCTACCCCTGGTCTAAGGATACGTTTATTAGGCCGGGGCAAAGCTGAGTAAATATCAGATCTATAAAGTACCAACCTATAGCATAGAACAACTGAACCATTCACATTAATTTCAACATACACAGAAGGGAATTGATCAAAACTGGGGCAGCCAAAAACTGGGGCAGACAAAAACTGGGGCAGCTGTGCATGGCAACCAATCAGCTTCTCTCTTTCATTTTCAAATCTTAACTGAACAAACTGAAGAGAGAAGCTGATTGGTTGCCATGCACAGCTGCTCTAGATTTTCTTGCTCCAGTTTTTATATATTCCCCCCACAGTGTCACAGTTTAGGTGGAAGCAAATGAATTGCTCAGTTATTACATTCTTTAAGCTGGAAATCAAGGCACCAGAATAAAGGCGCAGGTCAGTGAAGGGACCCTCGCTACGTTTATCAAACATCCTCCATTTATAACAGTGAACGTTCCATAATTTAGGTCACATGACACTACTGGTCTGCTTCCTATTTCCCTAAGGCCCCGTTCACATTGAGCGGTTCGCAAATCGCGCGTTTGTCGTGCGATTTGCATTTTGCGCGATATCGCGCAAATGCTTGCATTGAGCATGCTTGAATCGTGGCTAAATCCGCTCCAAAAAGGGTCCTGCTGTAACGACACACGACCCGCGACAGCAGAACCCTTTGCCCCATTGAGAAGCATTGGAGAGCAATATCGCGCGGTAAATTGCGGGAATTACCGCGCGATAAATCGCTCAATGTGAATGGGGCCTAAAGGCTACAGCAGCTAATGTTGGCAATGCAGTGTAGTCACATGACTCTAGTAGTATACTGGCAGTCAGCATCTGTTGGCTGAAGGAGAAGTAGAGAGACAGTAACACTGGAGGCAGGGGCTGACTGGCAACTTTTAGCCCAGGGGGCAAGTACAACCTAGAGGTGAGGGTTATTAATTATTATTATTATACAAGATTTACATAGTGCCAACTGTTTGCACAGTGCTTTCCAATATAAAGGAAGACAGTACAGTCACAATACAATTCGGGGCTCTGCCCGTACGAGCTTACAATCTACTTCTAGTTCACGTTCTGAGCTGTTATGGCACCAAACGTGGCAGATTGTTATCATGGTGTCACCATTTAAACTCATAGGAAATGTTACCTGTTTGGGACAAAGGTTTGGTGTCCAGTATATTAAGGCACATTGGTTAGGGATAAGGATTGCTGCAGATGAAGGTAAAAATCAAATAGTGTATGACAACCAGTTTCAAAGTATGTGATACACTGTATTCGGCATCAGTAGACACAGAAAAGGTCATTAGGAGCATATTGATGAGTGAGGAGTGTATGGCCAGCTTAAAGGATAACTACCGTGTGAGGTGAGTGATTTCCACTCATCCTCATAGTTAGAGCCGACCTGTGACAAAGAAGCTGTCACAGGTCGGCTCTATTGAGCGGGAAGTGAGAAGAAACATGCAGCTGATCCGCTCATTTCCCAATCGTCCCCCTGCAGTGAGCGGTGACTGTCAGTCACGGCTCCCCGCAGGGATTCCCCCCTTTTCCAGTCCCCCAGCGTTGAGTGGAGGAACGGTCAGGGGAGGGGGCTCCATTCACACCGGGCTATTTGGGAATCTTGCAGCAAGAATACCAGGTTTCCTGTTTAGATGCGCCCACTGTACCCATTCAAGTCAATGAGAGGGTGACAGCGGGCACACCTGTAACTGGCAATCCGCATGTAATCCATGTGATATACAGGTGAAACTCGAATAATTAGAATATCGTGCAAAAGTAATTGCAGTAAGTGCTGCAAAAGGGGCCCAAACCAAGTACTGAGTACATATGCATGCTTGTACTTTTCAGAGGTCCGATATTGTTCTATGTACAATCCTTGTTTTATTGATTGCATGTAATAATCTA